TGGTGGTGGGTTAGTACTATAATAGTACTAATAATTATCATTATTATTACTCTCTGCTTCCATTTTTTATTTTTTTATTATCTCAGTTACTATTGGATTTTCTCGATAAATTACATTTACATGTTTTCATTAATCATTTTATAATATAAAATATTTTTGTTACATCTTTTTTGTAGAATCTTTTATGTAATTTTTTAACAATGTAAAATTTTTTTTTTATTACTGCATGTACCAATTTGTATATAAAGTAATTTTTTAAAAAATAAAATTTTACACGCTATTGAGAAGATACTCTTTCCATCCCTAAATATTTGCAACATTTTCTTTTTCAGCAGTCGCAGGAATTTTTGTTTATTTCTACGTTTTCATTGGTTAGTTGATAAAATAAAATATTCTTAACACCTCTTATTTTAAAGAATTTTTCATGTCGTTTTTTGATATGTAAATTTTATTTTTTTATTTCTATACTAATATGTAAATGAAATGAATTGAAAAAGGTTAATATTTTTACTTCGAGAATACAAGTGTGACAAATATTTAGGGACGGAGGGAATAAAATAGAAAGAGAGCGAGTAGAATAAAGAAATATGATTGGTCATTATGGGCCCCATTTACATTTGTATGGGAGAAAACAATCAAAAAGAAAAATCAGGCAGTAGCCTTACGGGTAGGAAAAGATTAAAGCTACTGTACTTATTTATAGTCTTATACACCAAGGTTTGTACAAGTTGTACCTTCAATTTTGAGATAAGAACTCGCAGTTGTTATTGTTTTTGAAAATGTATTTCACGGTACCTTAAAATATCTAAAAAAATTCTTTGAGAGACAATCCGTGAATTCCCGTTCTCCAGCAACTTTTTCTTCTTCTTCACCATCTTTCGGTCCTCCTCCAGTCCTCCTTCTCCTCCTCCCCCCTCCTCCCCACTCATCCTCCTCCTCCTAATTAATTTTTAATAATAATAATAATAAATATAAATGACAGAAGAAAAATAAAATAATAAGAAACAGATAATAATTAATATGAAGTAATAATAATAAGTATTGTTATTTTTATATATAAAAAGTACAATATTAAAATTAATAATTAGTTGCTTTAAATAAATAATAACATTAATAATAAGTGTTTTTTATAAGAAGTGCCATTTTTCTAAATAACAATTACTATTATTTTTCTAAAAAAATATTAGTAAAACTAATAATTGATTTTTAACAATAATAGTGATAACAATAAATAAAAATAATAATAATAATAGAATAAGAAGAAAATAATAATAAATATGAATTAATAATAATAATAGTACTACTATTTTTCTTAAAAATTAGAGTCATTAAACTATTAAATAATTTTTTATAATAATAATAATTAATAACAAATAGTAATAATTATAACAGAAGAAGAAAAAAGAATTCAAAACAAAAAAAATAGAAGAAGAAAAAAAGGAGGTGTTGGATTAGATTCGAAGGCAAAGGAGAAGGAGGAGGAGGAGGGAAATTGACAGAGAGAGTGACAATGCAAATTGTCACTCCGGAGTAACTTATTGGATATTTTAAGATGTCCCAGAGTATATTTTGAAAAATAATAGGACCTTCGAATTTTTAACATAAAATTAAGGGTACCCAGCGTCAATTTTTGAGGTTTGTACTTCAAATTGTATATTACAAATGCGCACCGACACTTTGATCATTTATACTGCACAAAATACTAGTGCAAAATTTTTTCAGGATACTAACATTTTGTACCAGTGTAAACTATCAAAATGTCGTTGCAAAATTGTGGTGTGCAACTTAGGGAGTTGGAGTATAACCCTTGGTGTATACCTAGCATAGTTGGATTAGTTGGTAAAAAACCACAAAAACAGAGAAAAAAAATAGAGTTGAGAGAAGAGAATAAGAGAGAAAAAGAGAGGTGCACCATGTTTTGTGCTCCGCTCAACGACCAAATAAAGTTTGATCAAAATGAAAATTTAGCACGTTTTTCATGACATTTTCTTCTTCATATCCAACGGTGGAATTATTATTTTGACCTCTGATGGTTAAAATCTCTTCTGTTTGCTACTGTGTTTTTAATGAGTTTTTCTCCCATTTGAGTAAAAATTATTGTTGTTTGGTGTTCTAAGTTTTTACTTGATGGTTATGTATGCCTCTAATTAATTTTAAAGAGGATAATTGGTTATATCCACTGATTGTCTGATTTTATTGGTAATTAGTAGAAGACTTAACTTCATGGGGACATGGGGTTTTCCCTAATTTGGCCTGGGCTTGCCACTTTTAATTTTAATTTTGTTATTTCTCCGTAATTAATTTAAAGTGCGTGTAAGACTAAGCGACGAGCGAATTACCAGCGACAAAGATGTGCAAGTCGTGTCCCCCAGCCCAATGAGTTGTAGTTTTTTTACAGTATGTGTTTTAAAAATAATATGAGTAATTTCTGGTGAGATTTCCATATTTAGTCCTCTATTATTAAATATTACCCCACAATACTTTTTTATGGGTGTCTTTTCACAAATGGTCCTTTTTTGATCTTCTGCAATGTTAGTGTTAATTTAAAGGCTAAAAGTACAATTTGACATCAACCTTATGTCTAGTGACGGATACTGAAATTGGTTAGACAGATAACATAAAAATAATGACTAGGATTGTGGCATCTGTAGATTACAGTTGTACTCCCTCCGTCCCAATTATAGCGCCTGTTTCGGTTTATGATGTTTGACTGAAATTATTTTCAAATCGTTTTATATGACAAATGGTATAGAGTTAAAAAATAAAAATTACATATCAAAATACTACATCAAAAGATCTACAAAACTAGTAGTGATAATAGTACTTTATTTTATCAAATTGCTAACGAAAATAGAGAAAGAAAGTAAATGAAGTTTGACCATGTGAATAGTGAACACACTATAAATTGGGATGGAGGGAGTACGTAGTAAACAACGACTGTAACACACAAACGACACAAACAGAATGGTCTTTGGAATTGTGTACAATAAAAAAAATATATTATCATTGTGAAATTATACTTTTAGCCCTCAAATTAATAATAGCATGATAGAAGATAAAAAAAGGACTATTTATGCTCTTAATTTTAATGCTCTTAATTTTAATGCTTTAGTTCATACGAAGTAAATTATTTTTGGTTTTTTGTTTCAAGGTGAAGAAATGTAAGTTTATTTTTTACGGAGTAATAGAGTAATTTGATTTTTTCCTTAATTTAAGAGATTATTGTTGAATACCCATTTTAAGTGAGTGAGTGACATGGTGACATAGGCACTACAGGTGTGAAGTAAGTGAGATGGTGAGTGAGTCATTGCCGATGCATGTGGCGCTGAGTGGCTACTGATTTGAAATGAACTGTGATGAAGCGCTACAGATAACCTTATAGGTCTGGTTGGATGGGGTATGTGACCTAGACCACGCTAATCCATAATGTAGTTTACCATGATTAAGCCACGTTTTGACAATGTCAACAGTTTTCATTATCTTTCCATTATAAAGAACAAGAACAATTTTAAGTGCGTTCAATATCTTTGCATTCTTGAAAAAAACAAATCAAAGGATCAATATCACAATGAAATAACTCTTTTTTGTATTGGGACTGTGCATCCTCTCATCTTCAACCTCACATTTGTATGATATTTTTCGCGTTAGGCCCGTACAAGCGTATATTTTTTGCATTAGCGATTATATATGTGTGATCTATTTATCATCTTATATCATTGCTACAACCCTGCACTACACGTCACCTGGTTGGCTAGCTATTGTTATCGGGAAGACTTCTAACACAAGGCATCAACCGCATATATCTTCTTCGCTAGGCTGCATGTCTTCTCTTGTCCTCTTTCTATCGGCACACTAATCAAGAACTCTACACAACATAAGACACGATCCACATGTCTCCTTGAGTACTATCATGTTGGCACACCGTTACACTAAGAATTCCGCACAACACTAGACAACATGCGTAGATCTCCTCTAGTCTCTTGTTGGTCGTCGTCACTTGGAGAATTAAGCACATAATCCACCACTCTTGCATGATCTAAACACGTGCTTCGATACTACAAGTTGGGATCACATGCACCTATACCCCAGATCCTGCATGCATTAGTATGCATGCTTTAGACCAAGTTGGGTACCTCACAGAAGGATTATATTTGTTATGAGCTTCAACCTCACAATGATCTCGGAAATATTAACACACACGTTCAGCAAAGAACGGCCTTTATTTCACAAGAGCTGAATACATCTCTGATGTGGGTTGGGTTTGTCCTTGCAACACTTCGAAGTATTATAAAAAGAAGCTAATAAGCCATCTACATGGTTGGTTCTCTCAAGACAGAAGAGAAACATCAACCACCAATCCTCTTTCTTGAGTTTTGTAGTTGTTAATGTTGGGGAGGCGAGGTATGGCGATGATGATGCTCATATGCTATGGGAAAGGAGGGAAACATGATAGCATAGAGAAGCGCAGTCACAGAGGTAGATCCCTTATGCATATTAGATTTATAGTAAGATCAATATAAAAACAAACTTTCTCCGAATGATTAAACATAATGTTCTGTGTGTTTTGGTTCTCCCAGACCATCCAAGTACCAAACTCTTCCGGGCATGTTTTTTTCCCACATTTGTTTAAAGTAAAAGTTTTTTAGGATGAACTCCGTCTCAATTTTAGTTTAAAATTTATTGTTCACGCTGTAAAACTTTAAGCACATTTACCTATTTTCCCTACACATTTGATAAAACAATATATTCTTGTAACCTCTTATTTTATAGATCTTTTGATATAATTTTTAAATACGTAAATTTTATTTTTTAACTCCATGCCCATTTTTAAATAAATTAAGTTAAAAACAATTTGAGTCAAACTTCACAAATAACAAAAGGCGATTTAAATTGAGACAAAGATACAATTATTGACAATTATTTAAAGTAGATTAAAGCAAATCAAAGCACACTAGATCAGACACAATTATAAAGTAACTAGAATTAAATCAAATCAGACTAGATCAAATTAGGCTTTAATAAAATCAGAATAAGCTTATAGTGGGCCGCAGTTTAGATCGTGAATCCGGTACCATAGCTTAAAAAAGAGTGTAAACAATGATCATAAATCATAACTATGTAGTCTATAAATTGACTGCACATGCCATATTAAAAGGATGTTCATCAAGTTTAACCACAAGGCAAAAAACCACCAAAAGGTATCAACAAGTGACAGATCTCTATCATTCACAATTTTGGGACAGGGAAATCATTTTCACAGATGCAGGATATATAATTAACATGATGGACATAAATACCATCAACCCCTCAGAGAGTACTTTTTTCCTGTGAAAGGTTGAAACTTTGGCTCTTCTTTCTTCTGAGGTTCTTCTTTCACCGGTTCTTGCTGCAGGCATAGACACATTGAGACTATATTTGAAACTCGGAAAATGGTAGCGAAAGAAATAAAAGTGCCAGTGAACAACAATACAGGAGAATTTCCTCAAATTCAACTACCGTTTAATTTCTTTCTAAATATAACGACATCTTGGTCTTTTATACAATAGAAGTACCCTATATAAATAAGAAGACTAACTTAAGGGGATGATTTATATTATTTTAACCACTGTGAGGCTCCCTATTTTGCCTTAAACACAACCCTTGGCACATAAATAATAAGACTAACATGAGCATGTTAAGAAAGTCCAAAGCAAAAAGGGAATATGACACAACCTTTGGTGATTCACGATTGCGGTTCCCATTTGAGCCAAACACGAGCTTGCCTTGCGACTGACTGTTTCTACTTTGAGAGCTTGATGCAGTAGCAGAAGAAGAAGAAGAAGACTGGCCAATACGTTTGGATGCATCAGGTTTGATTCCAGATGGGGAAATGGGTGGAGGGTTATAGTTCAATGATTTCCCATCCAAACGCCTTCCTGCACCGGTAAAAGGGTTGAATTTTGGTATGTCCTCGACTGGACCCTCTTCGCCTGCATATTAAACTCTACTAGTAAGCATTATTGAACCGACCTCACAATTTGTTTTCAGTCTAAGAAGCTAATCTTCTTATCTAGGAATTTTAATCTGCGCTCAGTAGACAATCATTTTATAGCATAATATGCAGAATAAGTAAGCCTCTGAGTTTAGGCTCATCAAGGCTTTTTCGATAGCAAAATATTAGCATTTTTGGTTTATTACACAAAAGATATGGTGTAGCTTTTCTAACCATAAAACCAAAAATGAAAACGGGCAACTGGGAATGAGGCCGAATTATTTGGTTGTAGCGGGCACCCATTTCATAGAAATAAAACAGATTCTGCGGCCACCCATTTCATAGAAACAACCCTTACCAAACAGGCCCCAATAACAACACAGATATATACAATATTAGCTGGGGTCTAAATGTATCTACAGAACCTTCAGCAGACTTGTTTGGGAGAGAAGAAACAGGTCTTTCAGGCTCCTTATAATCAAGAGGAGGAGCAAAGTCAACTTCACAGTCTGTTTCAATAACACTTATAGCAGTAGCTGGCTTTGTCTCAATGATGTCTATATAATACTTTTTATTGTTATAAGCCATCATGATACTATCTCCTGTTGTTAAGCAAGAGAAGTTCCTCAGTGTTGTCTCCAAGCTGCAGCAAAATGAAAATGAGAATTTATTTATTTTTAAATTAAAGTTAGTAATTCCACCATGTGCATTGCAAAAAAAAATGAAATGAAAAATAACTAACATGGCTTTTGGGTTGGAAATATCCAGGAAATCTTTTGTATGTGGTTGCAGTTTTACATATGTGCCCTTAGGAAGAGCAACATTTTTCACCCGCACAACATCTCCTTCTTGCAACAACAAATTTTCCATCATCTACAAGACAGCATTCAATGAGAGTAAGAATGATTAACTGAATTACACGAACCACATAAAATCTAGATCAGATAACTATTTATTACCCAATATGGCATATATATCATGCCTTCTTCTGCAATAAACTCCAGAACACCACAATGAGAAACCCGCTCTGCTGCAGCATTGTGAAGTTCGAACAGCATTGGATACTCAATATGTAGAGATGCTGCAAAGTTGATAATCCACTAAAAATAAGCTTAAATCTCAGGAAAATGCTAGAAAGAAATAGAGGGAGAAAATAGGATTATTTGGAAGAACAGTGACAAAAATAAAAGATTATTTCAAACTACAAAACACGTTTTGATAGTTTTTTATTGCATTTGTTTTTAAGCTATATATTTATTACTCTTATACAGAAAACTAGAAATTTAGACATTATATTTTTTAAAAGCATTAATCATATTTCATCCTCCTTTGCAATTAATGGGGTAAAACCAAACAAAAAAAACTTCTCGTAGCTGTTTTGTCTTTGATTTTAAACTATTTATTATTTCTATTACGGAGTATATAAATGCTTAGAAATCTCGACATGAAATATTTTTAATAACATTAATCACATTTGAATCTCCTTTTCATTTTATGGGGTAAAACCAAACAAAGAATTAACCTCTCATAGCATTTGTTTGCCATTGATTTTGAATTGACTATGACATATACCTAAAACGGATCAAAATGTGGGTCCGGTTTGCATACACTGTTATGAGGGTTTCTCAAGGCCCAACCCTTGCCCTCATTTTGTCCAGTCCTATCCGGCCCTCAATTAGGCCCAGCATGGCCCAACACTTAAATTCATGAAGTATTAATTTTTCTTAAAAAAACATGGATAAATATTTAAAATCCTCAACTTAAAAATATAATTATGCGTGTGTGGGGGGGGGAGGGAAGAGGGGTAAGTTGCAACATTTTTTGTACATCAATTCTTACAACTTTTACATCTTTCACATCAATTCTTTTCATGCAAAACCTACCATTGGATTGAAAGCTACTAAGTACTAACACATGGATCCTCATTCTAAAGTTTAACAAAATATCAAAGTTGTTTCGTGCTAACTCATATCATTATTTATAACATGGCTTATACTCCGTAACTAATTATAATTGCATGGTAGAAAATCAACACGAGTGAATCGGTCCCTAAGGAACCCCCGAAAGGCCTTCAACATACTAAAAATAAAAATCAAATCACCAAATTTAGCGAGTGAAACTTGTTAGTCACAAAAAAAATCAAAACAAATAAATAAAACGAATAACAAATGAATCAATCCGGGCATGAGAGTTGGGCTTGAGGGGACTGAAGTCTTACCCAAGCCCTACCCTCACATTTTGTGGGTACCCTCATTTTGAGTATTGGGCCTCACAAAGCAAAAACGGATGTCCAAGCCCTCAGATAAGGCATCAATTAAGCAAAAGGGTAGTGAACATTGAAAACTAACCAAGGCGATCAAGGGCAGATGGAGGCATTATAACTGAAAAGGATATGTAAAAGACATCATGAGCAATAATATTTCAGTAAAAAGTGCATCTATGAGAGAAGAGGGAAATAACATCTAACTACTTACTTTTGTCACCATTTTCTATCTGAGGCTGCAAAGAGAAAATTTTAGCAGTGTCAATATTGTACCAAGAACAAACAAAATAAACAAGGTACAGATTACTGGCTTGAGAATTCCGATAATTTTCAACTAGTAAAAGAACATGAAGAATATGGCAGAAACAGAAACACAATTTAAACTTGTTAATCTGATGAGAGAGATGGATTGGAACCAATCAACCTTATCAATAAAAGATGCAGGGTAACACCGATATGATTGCTCGAACGATGTTCCATGGTAACCATATCCATCGAAAAACTGCAAATTCAGAAACAAGTTGATAAAAACTAAAAAGAGGATGCAAAAACAAGAGGAAAGAAACATGTAATTGGAGAGGAATAGACTGATAGCAAACACACAATACCATATGAAGAGGTCACATTTTTCTTTAGAGAATACTCAAATTTGAATTGAACTAATGATGCACACGGGAAAAACGTGTCTTGAAGAATGAGAACGGAAGCATGGATTATTAAATCATATGCTTCCTAATAATGCATATTATATAATCCATACTAGGGAAGGAAGAACACACTCATTTGAGTCACCAAAGTATCTTAATCAAATGCTTTAACAAGCTCCATCCATCCCACAAAACCTTTCCACTTACCCTTTTTACTTGTCCCAAAGAAATTTTTAATTTGGGCTAAATGGACACAAACACAAATGCCCTTGGCTTTCCTAAATCTAATCTAACCTACCCAACTCCCTTCTACGCCTTTCTAATATTTCACAAACCCTACTCGTTTCAATTGTTATCATTCCCCATTTGTCAAACTGCTACGACTTCCCCTCCCAAAAGTCAAAACTGGAAAAGTTTTGTGGGTGGGAGGGAGTATATCTTAACAGATCCACTGCAGTTTTTCCTTTGATGAGTTAATGTATGAAAAAAATTGAATATTCTACAATATTATATCTAGAGCTGCGTTGAATTGGTTTGAGAGTTATGGATGATGGCAACTGCATCACCCAAAGCTTTTCTCACTACAACCTCACAGTGAACCTTAGATCGCAAAAATAAATCAAACAAATATGGTTTCCGGACTTGTAGAAAGAACTCGATAATTGTCCTTTAAAGAAGAAAAGCAATTGAATAACTACTAGAGATACATAGCGCGAACTAAAATTGCATACCATGATTACTATCTATGAATTAGGGGAGGGCCAAAGCTGGGGAGAAAACACGGCACGAGTCAGACACTGCTCGGGAGACGGCGGAGCACACAGAGGCCCGGCGATCGGAATCTGAAGTCCTCCAAAGAAGGAAGGAATTTTCGAGACTATTGTGTGCCTTTCGGATGGGAATGGGCTGGGCAGCTATGCTCTCACTTCAAATTTAAATTGGGTGCGATAATTCTCCTCTGCTCGGGTAAGGCCTTTTTTCCGGTTTTTTTCTTATTAAAATGACCATATTAGATATCCAATCAGATCAGACCAAATTAGATCAGATTCAATCATATTAGATCCAATTAAATTATACCAGATCAGATCAGATCCAATAAAAAATTATTATTATTACTCCCTCCGTCCCGGAATATTCGTCCAGTTTTGACTTTTGGAACTGTTCATCTAAGTACTTTGACTCATCAAATTCTCTCAATGTGTAAGCCTAAATATAGTCATGTGTGATCTTGCTTGGTTTGTCTTAACATATAAATTATTAATATATAATTTCTATAATTTTTTAATATACAAATTACAAGATAAAATGGATTAAAGAAGTGTATTGAATGGTGTGTAAAAATAAAAGTGGACAAATACTCTGGGACGGAGGTAGTATTATTATTATTATTATTATTATTATTATTATTATTATTATTATTATTATTATTATTATATATTATTCTTCTTCTTCTTCTTCTTCTTAAAAATGAAAAAGAATAAACTTTGGAAACAAGTTAAATAAAAAAACTCAGAATGTAATCCTTAATTATTATGTCGGAAAAATTATTTTTTAAAAATGTATTGACAATGTCAATCTAATTCTACTTTTAAAAATACATTTTTATTGCTACCTGTAATTTGAGTTTCTAAAGTTTTAATCTTTTACTACATCAATCGAGTTGATCAACTTTGATCATGACTTAAATAAAGTTAATATTTGATATTCATATACGAAATACTACCTCCGTCCCGCTATATTCGTCCACTTTTGACTTTTGGAACTATTCATCTAAGTACTTTGACTCATCAATTCTCTCAATGTGTAAGCCTAAATATAGTCATGTGTGATCTTGTTTGATCTGTCTTAACATATAGATTATTAATATATAATTTTTATAATTTTTTAATATACAAATTACAAGATAAAATGAATTAAAGAAGTGCATTGGATGGTGTGCAAAAATGAAAGTGGACAAATACTCTGGGATGGAGGGAGTATTATTTTAGTGTAATTGAAATACCCCGGAGTAACTATTATATCTATAGTGTTATACTCCTTCCGTCCTACAAAAAAGTTCTCCTTTCTTTTTTCATCCGTCCCAAAAAACACTTCCCTTTTCCTTTTAAAAAGTCACTTTTACGCGTACTAATTCTTAACTTACCTATTACATCACACTTTTTCTCTATTAATCCATTCATCACATCCTACTTTATCCATCACATGGAAGGGCATTTTTGGAAAGTCAATACCAAAATACACTCCCCTTAAATCCTCAAAAAGTCAAAACGGGAACTTTTTTGCGGGACGGAGGGAGTATTAATCATAAAGAAAGTTTCGTAGTACAAAGCACACGCTGATATTTTATAATGATGAGATATTTTAATAAAAATATTATCTCTTCTCTATATTGAGTATCTAAATTTAATTATTTTTAAATGTATATATATAATATATGAATTTAATATTTATTCTAATAATGTATATATGAACTAATTATTAAAATATTAACTAATTTTATTTCATTAAAAAATAATCATAAAATAAAAAATATTGATTATATTATAATATGAATTATCATTACAATTTTATTTCAAACGTTATTATAAAGTCAAATCAAATTATTGATTTAAATTTTAAATCAAATCATAATTAATCAGATCAGATCAAATAGAATATCAAAATATGTATGAATGTCATAATGAACAATTATTTTGGAAAAGATGGAGAACCTCTTTTCATTTGAACTTTAATTTTCTTTTGGGATGGTAGGTGGGACATTAAATGATGCATAGCCTTAAGTGCAGCAATTACACTCCTATCAAATGAAAAATCATGACTAAGGCATTGTGTGGCACAAACTATCTTCCCCCAAACTGCATGCATGCCACGACCCAATTCTCTCCCCCTATATAAAAAACAAGGGCTTCTGATCTCTTTCCACTGATATGCACACACAGTTATTTCAAGTTAGGATGGAGAAGAGCCTCGTGGTTATCATGGTTGGCTTCTGCCTGGCCATTTCCATGGCCGCCGGACCTGAACTCGCCGGTGCCACTCGCGCCGGCCATCCCCTGAAGGGAATCCTGGCAGTCACTCAAGACGGCCGTGGCCTCCGTGGAGACTGGTGCCAGTGGCAGGGAGAGAGCTGCAACTGGAGTAAGACTTGCTGCGAGGGGTACTGCACGGCGTACACGGACGGCACGTGCATATGCGTCGGCGAAGGCGGCACTTGCGGGCTCCAGCACGGCTGCTGCCCCAACTACAAATGCGACGGCTACTTTTCCGGCACCTGCATCTCCCGGAGCCAAGGCCTGCAGCTTTCTGATGCCATAATAACAACGACGTCGTCTTAAACCCTATCATATCTGCTGGCCGCATATATACTACGGCGTGTAGTATTGATGCATGCATGCATGAAGCCCTACTTGCTAATCTGTGTGTGTATCTTTTCTATGTGTATGTTTGAAAAATAAAACTAATAAGTTTTTTCTTTTGATCAAAATTAAAGTTTTGACTTTTGAACTACTCGCATTCTGTTTTTTGTGCTTTTTGACCGCGTGGGCACGTTGAGATCGTAATTTACTCTTTTTTCTATTAAAAAAGAGTAATTTACTAATTTTACTCCTATTAATTTTTAACCTACTTATTGCATTTTACTCCCCCCTCCGTCCCTAAATAAACTTTCTCTTTCGTTTTTTCTTTGTCCCCAAATAAACCCCTCTTTCCTTAAAAAACTCCTTTTACCCCTTACTTTTTCATACCCTACCAATCACATCATACATTTTTACTAATAATCTACATATCACATCTTACTTTTACACATCACATCAAGGGTATTTTTGGAAAGTCAACACAAAAATATCCCTCCCTTAAATCTTCAAAAAGTCAAAAACGGAAGTTTATTTAGGGAAGGAGGGGGTATCTTTTTATTAATAATTAATTTACATACCACATCTTACTTTTTATCTATAACATCAAGGGTATTTTTGGAAATTCAATACAAAATTGGACTAACAAAAGCATCAAAAGTAACCTGTTATTATTAAAAAAATTGGAGTAATAAAAGTAAGAGTGACTTACTATTATTAAAAATGGAACAATAATAAATATAGTTTAACTAATTGTATGAAGAAGAGAAGATTCCTCGCATGTACTTCCTCCGTTTCACGAAACACTTCTGTCCTTTTTTTTGCGCATGCATCCCTCAAAACACTTCTACCCACTTAAAATGTATAAAATACACTTCCATTTTGTAAGTTATAGCGGGTAAAATTTGTTTTCAAAGTTCTACATTTTAGATAGAGTAGAAGTGTTTTATAGGGTGCGCGGAAATTAGGGCGGAAATGGAGGGTGTATTTATTTTGGAAAGTAAAAAAATGCATAGAATAATAACTATAAGAGCACTGGAAATGCTCATCACGCCCACTGGCGTGATCGCCGGTTTTACAGCCGGGGCGTTAAACCCTATCATATCTACTGGCCGCATATATACTACGACGTGTAGTATTGATGCATGCATGCATGAAGCCCTACTTGCTAATCTGTGTGTGTATCTTTTCTATGTGTATGTTTGAAAAATAAAACCAATAAGTTTTTTCTTTTGATCAAAATTAAAGTTTTGACTTTTGAACTACTCGCATTCTGTTTTTTGTGCTTTTTGACTGCGTGTGCACGTTGAGATCGTAATAAACCAGAGTGAAATGTACTCTCAATTTCACAAAAATTCTTTCTTTCTTGTTCTACACATTTTTTTCTCCTATTAATTTTTAACCTACTTATCACATTATTATACTCCGTATCTTTTTATTGATAATCTACATATCACATTTTATTTTTTATCTATAACATCGAGAATATTTTTGGAAAGTCAATACAAAATTGAACTAACAAAAGCATCAAAAGTAACTTGTTATTATTAAAAAAATTGGAGTAATAAAAGTAAGAGTGACTTACTATTATTAAAAATGGAACAATAATATTGACAAATGGTATTGACAAATGGGTAGATTGAAGGACACTTCTGTGGAGAAGAGTACATCACAATATATATAGAAAATAGTACTACTACCATAATTAATATTGTCTAACATCCCCCCTCAAGCTGAACGTCGTGTCACGAACGGAAGCTTGGAAACAAGTGTTTGAAAACGTGGCTTTGGTAACGGTTTGGTTAGCAAATCTGCAAGTTGATCTTCAGAGAAGACATGAGACACATTCATAGTACCAGCAATGACCTGTTCCCGAACAAAGTGACAATCTGTACCCACATGCTTCATACGCTTGTGAAAAACTGGATTTTTTGTGAGACATATAGCCGATTGATTGTCACAAAATAGCTGAGGAGGAGCAACTGGTATACGCAAATCCTCTAGAACGTATGTGACCCACATGACTTCTGAGGCAGCAGAAGATAGAGCTCGATATTCAGCTTCGGTGGAGGATTTTGACACGCGAGACTGCTTTTCTGTACTCCATGAGATTAGGTTCGGCCCAAGATAAACTAGATAACCAGTGACAGAGCGTCCGTCTGTCATATCATTTGCCCAATCGGAGTCAGAGTATGCCCGTAGCTGAAGATCACCGGACTGAAAAACAAGACCCCTATCAAGTGTCCCTTTAACAAAGCGCATAATCCTCTTCAAGCTCTGAAAATCATTTTCTGTTGGATTATGCATACGTTGACAAACATAATTGACTGCAAACTAAATGTCAGGCCGAGTAGTAGTAAGATACTGAAGTCCTCCAACTAAGCTTCGGAACAAAGTAGGATCATGAAAGGGTTCATCCCCCCTATCGACGATGTGTTGTGGCCGAACTGGAAGAGGAGACGCCGTGGGCTTACAATCCTCCAAGCCCGCCCTATGAAGAAGTTCACTGGCATATTTTCGTTGGGAGACAATAAGGGAAGACGAGGTACGAGAAACCTCTAGCCCAAGAAAATAATCAAGAGGTCCCAAATCCTTCGTTTGAAACTCTGCACACATGCGGGTAATAAAATTCTGAACAAGGACAGAAGAGCTCCCAGTGACAATTATATCATCAACATATACTAGCAGAATTAATGACCCAGTGGACCCATGTAAAATAAAGAGACTGGTGTCATGTTTATTTCTTTGAAAACCATATGCAAGCAGAAAGCCAGAGAGCCGCTCATACCAAGCCCGTGGTGCCTGTTTTAAGCCATATAGAGACTTGTTAAGCTTACATACATGACGGGGAAAGCGAGAATCAACATAGCCA